GGGAAAAAATCTGTGGGATTTATGGGAAAAAATCCATGGGATTTATGGGAAAAAATCTGTGGGATTTATGGGAAAAAATCTGTGGGATTTATGGGGAAAAATCCATGGGATTTATGGGGAAAAATATGTGGGATTTATGGGAAACATCCATGGGATTTGTGGGAAAATATGTGGGATTTATGGGGAAAAAATCTGTGGGATATATGGGAAAAAATCCATGGGATTTATGGGAAAAAATCCATGGGAATTATGGGAAAAAATCCATGGAAAACGGGGGAAATGTTAGTGGGATTTGTGGGAAAAAATCCATGGAATTTCTGGAGAAACCACCACCAAAAAATCCATGGAAAATGGAACTTCTGGAGAACCTCTGACCAAGAACCCACAGAAAATGGAATTTATGGAGAAACCACCACCAAGAATCCATGGAAAATGGACCTTCTGGAGAAAATATGACCAAGAATCCATGGAAATGGAACTTCTGGAGAACCTCCGACCAAGCCACCCCAGCCCATAGACCTTCTGGAAAACCCCTGACCAAGCCACCCCAGCCCATGGAGCTTCTGGAGACCCTCTGACCAAGAATCCATGGAAAATGGAATTTCTGGAGAACCTCTGACCAAGCACCCCCAGCAAATGGAACTTCTGGAGAAGCTGTGACCAAGAACCCATAGAAAATGAATTTATGGAGAAACCACCACCAAAAAATCCACGGAAATGGAACTTCTGGAGAAGCTGTGACCAAGCCCCCCCAGCCAATGGAACTTCTGGAGAACCTCCAACCAATCCACCCCAGGAAATGGACTTTCTGGAGAACCCCTGACCAACCCCACCAGCCCATGGACTTTCTGGAGACCCTCTGACCAACCCCACCAGCCCATGGACTTTCTGGAGACCCTCCACCCAAGCCCCCCAGCCCATGGAATTTCTGGAGAACTTCTGACCAAACCCCCAGCCCATGGAGCTTCTGGAGAACCTGTGACCAAAAATCCATGGAAATGGAACTTCTGGAGAACCTCCAACCAATCCACCCCAGCCCATGGACCTTCTGGAGAAGCTCTGACCAAGAACCCCCCAGCCCATGGAATTCCTGGAGAAGCTGTGACCAAAAATCCATGGAAATGGAATTTCTGGAGAACCTCTGACCAAGCCCAGTCCATGGAAAATGGAATTTCTGGAGACCCTCCACCCAAGCCCCCAGCCCGTGGAACTTCTGGAGAAGTTGTGACCAAGAACCCCCCAGCCCATGGAATTCCTGGAGAACCTCTGACCAAGAACCCCCAGAAAATGAATTTATGGAGAACCTGTGACCAAGAACCCATAGAAAATGAAATTTATGGAGAAACCACCACCAAAAAATCCATGGAAATGGAACTTCTGGAGAAGCTGTGACCAACCCCACCAGCCCATGGAATTTCTGGAGACCCTCCGACCAAGAATCCATGGAAATGGAATTTCTGGAGAACCTCTGACCAAGCCACCCCAGCCCATGGACCTTCTGGAGAACCCCTGACCAAGAACCCATAGAAAATGAATTTATGGAGAACCTGTGACCAGGAACCCCCAGCCCATGGAACTTCTGGAGAAGTGGAAATGGAATTTCTGGAGAACCTCCAACCAATCCACCCCAGCCCATGGACCCTCTGACCAAGAACCCCCCAGCTAATGGAATTCCTGGAGAACCTCTGACGAAGAACCCATAGAAAATGGAATTTATGGAGAAATTGTGACCAAGAATCCATGGAAATGGAACTTCTGGAGACCCTCCACCCAAGCCCCCCCAGGAAATGGAATTTATGGAGAACCTGTGACCAAGAACCCACAAAAAATGGAACTTCTGGAGAACCTCCAACCAATCCACCCCAGTCCATGGACCTTCTGGAGACCCTCCACCCAAGCCACCCCAG